GAAAGCTCTGGTGTGGTCAGGGCTCCAAACTTGAGCAGGTACCCTTTCTTTGCTCATTCTAAGCCACTGACAACCCTGAAGTATCCATGCTTCATCTGAAGCAACTATTGCTTAGACTATTGATGCTGGCATAAGTCATGATCCAAGGCGACAGTAACCTAACGTGTATCATTGACAGTTCATTTAGTCTTTAGAGATATTTACTAGTAGACTAAGACAGTGGCTAAAGACTTATTTAGCAAGATTCTAGAGAGAAAGCGTTAAGAACATGGGTTTGAAGACAGATTGCCTGAATTGGAATCTAGTTTCTTAATGATTAGGTGTGCCACCTCCAGCAAGTTTTCTGAACCTTTCTGTGAGTTTGTCTCCTCAACTGTATAATAATAAAAAAACACACAAACCCACTGCTTCTGAGTCCACTCCAACTTATAATAACTCTGTAGGATAAAGTAGAACTACTCCGCAAGGTTTCCAAGTTTATGATATACATGGAAGCAGGCTATCACATCTTTTTCCCAGAGGGCAGCTGGTGGGCTCGAACCACCAACCTTCCCTTAGCACTTCAGCACTGTACCACCAGGGCCCCTGCATCTGCAAAGGATGGACATCAACACATGTGTAAGCATTAGAATGATGTTTGCCATATGTTGTTTAGGTGCCATATAGTTGGCCTTGACCCATAGGGACACTATGCCCAACTGAACAAAACACTGCACAGTCCTGCGCCATCCTCACAATTGTTCCTCTCCCTGAGCCCATTGATACAACCACTGTGTCAAGTCATCACATTGACGGCCTTCCTCTTTTCACTGCCCTTCCACTTACCAAACAGGATGTCCTTCTCTAGGGACTGGTCTCTCCTGTAACTACATCCAAAGCATGTAAGACTAAATCTTGCCATCCTTGCTTCTAAGGAGCACTCTGGCCTTACTTCTCCCAAGCAGATCCATTTGTCCTTTGTTCAGGTCTTGATACTTTCATTATTCTTCTCCAGCACTACAATTTGAATGCATCTATTCTTCTATGATCTTCCTTACTCAATGTCCAACTTTCACATGCATACCATGGCATGGGGCAGGTGCACCTTAGTCCTCAAGGTAAGGTCCTTGCTCTTCAACATTCTAAAGAGGTCTTGCGCAGCAGATTTACCTAATGTGATGTGTCTTTTGATCGCTTGACTTCTGCTTCTATGAGCATTGATTATGGATCCAAGCAAAGAAAAATCCTTCACAACTTCAACCTGTTCTCCATTTTTCATAATGTACCTGTCGGTCGAGTTGGGAGGATGTCGGTCTTCCTTCTATTGAGTTGTAATCCCTATTGAAGGCTACAGTCCTGGATCTTCATTAGCAAGTGTTTCACGGTCTCCTCCCGTTTGTCTGCATAGTGCCAGGTGTTAGTAAGCTTTCTTCCGATCTTGATGTGTACACTTCTTCATATTAACCCAGCTTCTCTGATGATTTGCTCAGCATATAGATTGAACAGTATGGTGAAAGGATACAATCCTGATGCATTTCTCACCCAATTTTAAGCCATGAAGTTTTCCTTGTTCTGTTCCCACAACTGCCTCTTGATCCAAGTACAAATTCTGAATGAGCACAATGAAGTGCTTCGGATTATCCATTCTCAAGGCTAGCCACAGTTTATTACAGTCCACATGATTGAATGCCTTTGCATAGTCCACGAAATGGAAGTAAGCATTCTTCTCGTATCCTCTGGTTTGAGTCAAGACCCATCTGACCTCAGCAAGGCTATCCCTCATTCCACCTCCTCTTCTGAATCAAGTCTGAGCTTCTGGCAGTTCCTTGTCAATGTGCTCTTGCAACCATTGTTGGGTGATCTTAAGTAAAATTCTCCTTGGGTGTGATATCCATGATAATGTCCTATAGTTTGAGCATTCTGTTGGGTCACCTTTCTTTGGAATGGGCACAGATGTGGATCTCTTCCAGTTAATTGGCCAAGTAGCTGTCTTCCAAATTTGCTGGCATTGCTGAATGAGTGCTCCCACATCTTTTTCAGCTTTCTGAAACATTTCATTGGGAATTCTGTCAATTCCTGGAGCCCAGTTTTTGGCTAATACATTCAGAACTTCTGCCTTCGGCACCATTGGTTCTTGCTTATATGCTACCTCTTGAAATTGTGAACTGTCGACTAGTGATTTTTGGTACAGTGACTGTGTATTCTTTCCATCTTCTCTTGATGCTTCATGCATCGTTCAATACTTTGCCTCTAGAATCATTCAAAATTTCAATTTGAGACTTGAATTTTTTTCCTTGAGTTCTTTCAGTTTCAGATATGCTGAACATGTTTTTCCCTTTTAGTTTTCTAATTCTGGGTCCTTTACACTTCATTATAATATTTAGCTTTGTCCTTCAGGAAAGAAGGACAAGATCAAAGTGGATGTCAGAAGAGACTGAAACTTGCTATTAATCATAGAGTACTAAAGCAAATGGAAGGGAGAATGAAGTCAAGGAAATGAATAGAAAATTTCAAAGGGTGGCTTGACATATAGAAGATTATATAAATGCTAGCTGGTTATGTTATTTGGCACTTCTACTTTTAAAATTTACTCAGGTTCTGACCACATCCAACCTTCTACATTGCTACCCTACAAGTCCAAGTGACCTGATACTTGTGGCTACCTTTATTGTAATAATTAGTCTTCCTGTTTTTGTCTTTACCTGTGTGACAGCCAATTTTCAACATAGTTTCCAGAGCAATACTGCTAAGTGCAAATGGAACCTGACCACCCCCCCCACACACACACACATACCTCTTCTCAAGGCCATCCAATGACTCCCTATTTCACCAAGAGTAAAAGCCATAGTCCTTAAAGGGCCCTCTATCACCAAGACCTGTAATTTTGGTATTTCTCTCCCCTCCCCTCCTACTTCACACACTCCACTCCAGTCACAGGGATTCCATTCATGTGTTTCTCAAAAGAACCAGCCATATTCTTTCTTAAAGGCCACTTTAACTTTTTTCTGTGTCCACTGTAGTCCAGGAACTTAATTTCTGTGAATGGCATCACATAAGCACCCTTGCCTTTTACTAGCAACTGACTTTAAATAATGAGAAGCCTTCCAATGAGTCTGGCAGATAGGTTAGGTATGTACTTCTTTGCCTCCTATGTAGGGTTCTGATTTGAAAATAGCTACATTCTCTGATGTTTATAACTCATTTCTGGTGACTCTTTTTTCTTGGATCTAGTTTGCACTTTCTTCTGATGATACCATTTGCACACACCCTTCTTCAGAGCAGAGTGGTGGTAAAACTCTGCTTTTAGTTTATCTTTATTAGTTTATCTTTGGCTAAATCATCTTGAGCAAGATAAGGGTTTCCTGCTGGCAACACTAATACACGCAACTAATATTGTAGGCTTCATCTGATAGTGGATAGGAAGATCTTAAGCACATGGTTAGTTCAACATTTTTTTATGTCTCACTCTGATATCTCTGGGGCGGGGGATGTATTTCAGGACAAAATACTTTCTTCAAACAAAACAATAAGGAGAATTTAACAGTGGTCCATGTATGATATGTTGACTGCCAAAATAAATGCAGAATAAATGTGGGGAGAATAGGTAACACCTTAGAGAAGTGTCTAGACTGTAATAGCTTTAGTGTTGACAATGGACCGAACGCAGATGGCAAGGAACAGAATGGCCTCAGAGATGAAATCCCAGAGTTCTCAATTAGGAGGTGATAAAGTGCTTGATCTTCCATATGACTCCAAAATCCAAGAGCAGAAATGAATTTGATAGAGAAAACAATGATTTGTCTTTAGACATTTTGATTTTGAAGCATCAATGGGACACCCAGGTGAAACTGTGTAGCAGCCAATTGTACATGTAAACTTAAAACCCGAGAGAGTGGTTTGAGCTTGAGATGTAAATTTGGAATAACAATCTGCAAATGACAGTTGAGACTCTGGGAGTAAGTCTTGGGGAACACAGGTACTTAAGGAATAGGTAGAGGAAGGTATCTCTGAAAAAGACGGAGAACTAATGACCCAAGATGGACAAGAGAACCCAAATACTATCCCCATCTGAAGAAAGTAGAGAGTTGGAAGAAGGAAGGCATTATAAAGGCTGTCAATTGCAAAAATATCAAGAGATCTGAGTAGGCTACAACAGGGACAAACGGTCAAATAACGGGTGGTGGATTTTGGCACTTTCCTCCAGCTTTGTTATAGATGTCAATCATAGAACCAACATAAACTGCCCAGCTTAGTACCTAACATACAGTAGGCATTGGATAACTGGATAATTTGTTACTCCTCAAAATTCTCTTTATCTAAACACATCCTTGCGCTGGTGTGGAAATGGATTCTCTTCTCGCTTGTGTAGCTGGAGAGAGTGGCTCTCATGCCATCGCCTTGGGACATCAACATTTTCATGAAAAAAAAAACTTTTAAGAAAATATAATATTTATATTTAAGAATTTAAAAAAATATAATATTTAAGGTTGACAGGTTTTACGTTTTGAGCTATTACTTAATTTAAAGTTTGATGTCGTGATTCCATGCTGGGCTGCTCACGGCAGGGTTAGCAGTTCGAAACCACCAGCTGTCCCACGGGAGAAAGGTGAGGCTTTCTCCTCACACGAATAAAGAGTTAAGGTCTTGGAAACACCAGGAGCAGCTCTACCTGGTCCTGCAGCAGCGGTTCTCAACCTGTGGTACTGGCCCCTTTGGGGGTTGAACGACCCTTTCACAGAGTCACCTGATTCATTACAGTGGCAAAATTACAGTGATGAAGTAGCAACGAAAATAATTTTATGCTTGGGGGGTCACCACAACCTGAGGAACTGTATTAAAGGGTCGTGGCATCAGGAAGGTTGAGAACCACTGTCCTTCAGGCTCGCTATGAGTCAGCATTGACCAGATTGCAAGGAGTTTGGTCTTTGGTATCAATTTGGTGTGAATCAGGAGTCCCTCTGGGACTCCTCCCGCCTCAATAGATTCAGCAAATCTGTATCTTTTAAGAAGAGAGTACTTACCTTTTGATGTAAACCTAACTGGCACAAGTCTTCCTTGGATATGCAGGGCTTTCCATTAATCTTCTTAGAAGATAGGCAAATGAGCAGATCCCAAGAGCCCTGATCACCTATTAGTCAAAGAAGTATGAAAAAGAAATAAACCTGATCAGATCTTCAAAGGTAAAATCTTACTCCTCAAACAACCTAATTATTTAAATTCTGCAGTAACAGTAAAAGCTTTATTTTAATATGTTCACAAGAAAACATCAACTTTAAAAGCAACCACATGTTCACATTTCTTATCCTACATGCCTACTATTTTTATTCTTGGCATTGTATTCTAGAGAATATTCAATTAACTGAAGAAATGTCAGAAAAATGTCTTCAAAAGATTAAAAAGCAAAGGCTTAAATTCACCAGTGTTATAAATGTATAATGCTTTTTATTTGAGGATTGGGAGTAAAGAAATTACCAATTATTTTAAGATAGGAGAAAATTGTGTAATCCAATAATGATACGAAGTCAAAACACAGAATATTTTGTGTGATAGAGACTTGAGTATTGCCACTTCTTTTTATAATTAAGTATCAAGTATGTGTTTTATAACATTTATTACAATGAAAATTTCTAGACAGAAATAAAATCCACAAAAATTTAAAGGTAACTTTCATCTACAAAGAATTTATGATCCAAAAGATTATTATAGCAGAGTTAAGTTCAAAATGGACCAAAACAAATATTTAAATTATCTCACCAAGGATAAAACCCTTTGCCTATAAATCATAAATTAACATTTAAGTATATATATGTGCTTCTTTCCTTTAAAACATTTTAACAGTTTTACTGACATAATGAACATATCATATAATTCAATAGTTTAAACATATTTTTTAATCATTTTATTTTGGGGCTCTTTCAGCTCTTATCACAGTCCATCCATCCATCCATTGTGTCAAGTACATTCGTACATATGTTGCCATCATCATTCTCAAAACATTTTCTTTCTACTTGAGCCCTTGGTATCAGCTTATTTTCCCCCTCCCTCGCCTTCCCTCCCTCATAAATCCTTGATAACCTATAAATTATTATATTTTTCATGTCTTATACCCATTGATGTCTCCCTTTGCCCACTTTTCTGCTGTCCATCCCCCTGGGAGGGGGTTATTTATTGATCATTGTGATCGACTCTCCCCTTCTCCTCCCACTTTCCCCTTACTCTCCTGGTATGGCTACTCTCATGATTGGTCCTGAGGGGTTTAACTGTCCTGGATTCCCTGTGTTTCCAGCTCTTATCTGTACCTGTGTACATGCACTGGTGTATCCAGAGTTGTAAAGTAGAATTGGGGTCATGATAATGGTGGGGAGGAAGCATAAAAGAACTAGAGGAAAGTTGCATGTTTTGTCAGTGCTATACTGCACCATGACTGGTTTGTCTCTTCCTTGTGATCCTTCTGTAAGAGAATGTCAAGTGTCCACACTCCCCCACATTCACATCCATATGACTTTCTGTTCTGGGTCTTTGATGCCTGATACCTGATCCCATCAACACCTCATGATCACATAAGCTAGTGTGCTTCTTCCATGTGGACTTTGTTGTTTTTCAACTAGGTGGCCACTTGTTTATCTTCAAGCCTTTAAGACCCCAGATGCTATATCTTTTGATAGCAAGGCACCATCAGCTTTCTTCACCACATTTACTTATTCACCCACTTTGTCTTCAGAGTCAGGAAGGTGAGAGTCACAGAATGCTGGGTTATTAGAAAAAAGTGTTCTTGCATTGAGGGAGTCCTTGAGTAGAGGCTCAATGTGCATCTGCTTCCTTAATATTTAACATAGAAATATATGTACATAGACCTATTTCCCTATTGTTATAAGAAATGAAGTCCCAGAAGAATACCAAAAAATAGACTTTGTGGCAAGGGCGTGGCACCCCATTAGACTCAACTGGAAAACACTCATAAAGGTCAACAAACAGACTGGGAACTATTTATAGACTTTTCTTTTTTTATTGATTTTTTTGGTTCTTGTTGTTGCTTTGTTTTCTTTTTCTTTGTCTTGTTTTTGTGCTTATTATTGTCTCTGCATGTCTATCTAGATAAGATAGGTGGGATGAACAATCTGGAGAAGAAAACAACAGGACCGATGGTTCTGGGGGAACACAGGAGAGCGGGAGGCAGGGGAAAGGTAAGGGGGTGCCAATAAGCCCAGGGTCAAGGGAACAACAAGTGATCTAAAATCAAGGACAAAGAGGGCATAGGATGCTTGGTGGAGCTTGACCAAGTGCAATGGAGCTGAGTAATTACTGAAAGATGAATGAAGGTAGAACATAATAGTAGGACAAGAGAAAAGTGAAAGGAAATAGAGGAAAGAACTAGGAGGCAAAGGACATTTATAGAGGTCTAGATAGAGGTATGTTCATATATTTATATATAGCTTAAACATATTAAAGAGATATACAAACAGCATCACAATCAATTTTAGAATATTTTCTGCTTTCTTGTACTCATTATTATTACCTCCCCATTTCCTCATAGCCCTAAGTAACTATTAATCCAGTTACTGTTTCTATAGATTTACTTACCCTGGTTTTCATATAAAGAAAAACGTATTCCACCTACCCCTCCTCAAAAACAAACAATAACAAATAAAATAGAGAAAAACTTCAGTTGACAAGAAAGCAGAAAATAATAAAAATTAAAATAAATTTAAAATGGGCCAAAGGGAGAATATATAAAGAACTCAATTTTATTCTAACTCTACCTGAATTAGTCATATTTCAAGTGAATCCTGCTAGCCAGGCTACTCACATCCTCGGTGTAGTCAGAGGGGATTCGCCAAGGCTTAATCCATTTGGGGACCCATCTGTGGGCTTCTTTTAACAAGAATTCTCATTTATTAATGGTGACTTTGACTTCCAATCCTAATGCACTTTTCGGTCGGTCTCCTTTTCTGCATACCTGGAAGTCCTAAGAAACCACCCCCCTAATTTGGCCAGGCCTGACTTCTTAGCTCTCCTTGCCCTCCTGCCCACCTTCTAAGAGCATCAGAAACATATCAAGAAAGATAATCTCCAAGAGCAAACATCAGCTGCAATGCCAAGAAAACCAGCCTATCCTGGGCCTTTCATCACTTGGCTGCAGCTCTGAGACAGCCTCCTTTGGAAGAGAGCTCAAAGAGAGAGTGGCTGAGAGAGAAGAGACCAGACCCAGGAAGGAGCAGGTCTGGGTCACTGAACACTCAGCTGGAAAAAGGAGACATAAGCAAAAAGAAGGCCAGGGACCACACTTGGGTTTGCTAAAGCCCCGAGAGAAAAGCTCTGAGAGGTCACTGTTCTGTCCTTGTCACCCTCTCACAGCCGGTAAAAATGTCTCCAGAGAGTTACAGTGCCCTAAGCAATTCTGGTGGAAGAGCACGGAGACCAAAGGTCCAGTACAGACATGTCCGCTAGAACCAACTGGCTAAATAGCCATTCACTGAAGCATATCTCAACCAACAGGTTCAGCAGGGCAACAATTGTGAGGATGGCGCAGGACTGATGTGTGAGTCTGGGTAGACTAGAGAAACAAATCCACAGAAACTCATATGTATGTAATAGAGAGTTTTATATAAAGGGTCAGTGTACATTCAGAAAGCATTCCAACCCAGTGTTGTCCAAGCCCGTGAGTCCAACATTAGCCCATAAATCTGACACGGATCTACAAAGTCCTCCTCAGTCTCACAAAAGGCACGCAATGACACTGACTGCAGGAGGAAAGCTGAATCAGTGAGCATGTAAGCATCTCAGCGCTGGCAGTGGTCTCCACAAGGCTGCTCCAGCACCCCGGGCTTCCTCGGAACAGGTCCATGTGGCTTCTCCTCAGGGATGTCTTGCAGGAAGTGAGCCTTGCCAGCTGAAGCAGGGAACTGGCTAAGGCAGCCGCACACTGATCCGACCATCAGAGAACAAGAAAGGTGAGGCTCACGGAGCCATTTATCTCTCCACCCTTCAGTTAACCCCACATGTGTTTATTGGCCAGGTTGGCACAATAAACCTGAACTATCACAACCAGGTAGTGTTTCCTTCTGTTGTACATGGGGTCACCATGAAGGAAGGGACATGAAGGTGCCCGACAACAAGAACAACATCTCACCAACGTCAACTCGCCTAAAGAACAACTCTCGTTCATTAAAAGCAAAACCTGGGAACATCAGTTTGCTGACTGGCCCTTTGGAATATGGACATGTGGGGTTTTTTATGCCAGGTGTAGGGCAGGTTACTGCTACTAGAGACAAAGTAGAGGCCAGGCAGGCACCTGGCAAACTGGACAACCTGCAGGAAGCCATTTCCTGCTGTGAAGGATATGTGCCCCATGTTACCGGAGCCCCTAAGTTTTTGAGCGAAGGTTTCATGAGTTATGCTGATGTTTTAATGTTGGCAAATACTTAATATGTAAGCCCAATAAACACGGTGCGGGTCCAGCGGGCCCCTTAGAGGACTTGACTCTCCCTGTGGCCCTCTAGTTTGCCACCTCTGTGGTCACCCTGGGTATTTGCCTACTAAGCCTTCTTGCCCCCAGAAATGTGTCATTTTGCTGAGAATACAATTTTGTATTCCAAATATTCCCTGGCTGATTTCTGAATGTCATTTACTTAGCTAGTGACTAAGCTTTGCTTTTTCGCTCAGTTTCCAAATGTCATTGTTGCTCTGTGGGGTTTTTGTGTTTCATCCAAATGTGAGTGCATAGTACCTCTCTTGGAACAAGTATCGACTTTTCTTTTTTTTTTTTTTAATCACTTTATTAGGGGCTCATACAACTCTTATCACAATCCACACACACATCAATTGTGTAAAGCGCATTTGTACATTCATTGCCCTCATCATTCTCAAAACATTTCCTCTCCACTTAAGCCCCCAGCATTAGGTCCTCATTTTTCCCCTCCCTCCCCGCTCCCCTCTCCCCTCTCCCTCCTGAGCCCTTGATAGTTTATAAATTGTTATTTTGTCATATCTTGCCCTGTCCGACGTCTCCCTTCACCCACTTTTCGGTTGTCCGTCCCCCAGGGAGGAGGTCACATATAGTTCCTTGTAATCGGTTCACTCTTTCCTACCCACTCTCCCTCTACCCTCCCTGTATCGCCACTCACACCA